TGTTCTGTTTTGTGCAATCTATTACAAGCAATAAAAAATGAGGAAAAAAATTTTTAAAAAAAAATTAGTGTTACCTTGAATTTTTTTTAATAAAATCATATTTTTTATATAAATCGATTCTCAATATTCTGCATAAGTTGTAATGTAGGATGGCAAAAAAAGCGAATAGCTTATGAGATATATTATACTTTCATAATGTACATAAACTATGAAATATCTCATGAAATCATTTTTGATTATTTTATTCCAATTTTAAATCAATTGGTGTAAAGAAAACACAGATATAAATAAAGATATAAATTGTAAACCAGCAGCTACATATTTCTCTAAAACTCAAATATCTCGTAAACTTTCACTTTTTCACAATTTTATCTTTATAATTTTTGATGCAGAATATTGTAACAAATTGATTTAGATTGAATATGATGCTTTTATTTAAAAAAAAATTATGACATTCATTTTTTCATGAAAACATTTTTTTTAATTTTTCTGTTACGTAATAGCTTTGAAACAAATTCATTTGTACAATATAAATTTTTTAATTATCAGAAACGTCTCAAATATCATGCGCACACTATATATATATATATATATATATATATAATACATACAGCATACATAATACTGTTACATACAGCACAAATACACAAAATATTACATACCTATTTATTATGCACATAAATGTATATAACGATTAGATATACAAAAAAAAAGAAATAGAAGAAAAAAGAAATAAATAGAAAGAGAGCGAACGAGTGAGCCTTTTTATAAACGTCGACAAGCAATATATTATTATGTATGTATACATGTATGTGTGTATGTATATATACATATATATATTGCTTTATGATATATATTTATAATGTAAAGAGGCTAGAGAACTCATACTCACTATCTTTCTCTTTTTTTCTTCAGCTTTCTGTATCTATTAATTTATTCATTATATCCATGTATGTGTATAACAAATAGATGTATATAATTAATGTTTATTTGTACTGTTTATAATATATATATATATATATATATATATATATTTCTTTTTCTTTTTGTCTATCTAATCGTTATATACATTTATGTGCATAATAAATAGGTATGTAATATTTTGTGTATTTGTGCTGTATGTAACAGTAATTCTGATATTGAATCAATTTTATGATATGACATAATACTAACCTTTTAAAAACATGCTCCTTTCTACTCAATCTGCGACCAGATAGGGGCAAACGTTTATTTTTGTTTGCCCATTATACACTATATATTTAATAAATATAAAAATATTACTTTTAAAATATCACAGTATGTCTATCTATCACAATATTCGACACGTTATCACACGTTATAACGGTCGAGTCGCGCACTGCGTGTAAGCACGTATAGTACGTACCGCGTGACAAGTGAACCATCCCGCGCAAATATATGTCATTGCGCGCACACGATTTTGTTTACAAATATGTATATATAGGGTGTCTACATGCTACATTTTAGCATGTACCCAATTTTTGTTATTTTTCGCAAAATTATAATTACACAATTATTTAATATAATTATATATAAAAAATTTTTCCCGCGTTGTATGTGTCGTAAGGAGATATATGTATAATTGATCGTTGCATTGAATGTCACTATTTTCTGAAAAGTAAAAAAGAGAGCTCTCTCTCTCTCTCTCTCTCTCTCTTTCTTGATCCTTTATGCTATTGTTAGTATTCTATCAATTAGTAATCAATGCAATCAATCATATCGTTTACGGCAACAGCCAGTTACTCGTTCACTCACTCATTCATTCTTTTAAAATATGTCCATTTTATACATAATTATGTAAATTTATATATAAAAATAAGGGTGCATATATAATCATGTCAAATTTGTATATAAAACATATATATTTATATATATAAAGAAATACTTATTATTACACTTGTATATATATATATATATAATATATATATATATATATATAAATTTATATAATTATATATAACAAGCACTTTTACTTAATTATGTATAGACATATTCATAATATAATTCTGCGATTATACGTATACTTTATATATTTCTATATAATGTTATATTATTATATACACAAATTTTTGTCCCGGGGTATTTTAAACTTTTATTTTCTTTTCTTTCCCCATTCTTGTCTGTCTTTACATGCATGTTATTTGTTGTATGTGTATCATAATTTGGATTTGTATGTATGTTGAGAAGATGGGAATAGATAAATTTTATTACTTCATGTTTTATATTATAAATGCAGCTTTTTGTAAAATCCGAAATAAATAATTTTTCTACAAATATTTAAATTTATCAAAATTTTTTACTGCACAATTAGACTAATATTTTGCATTATTCTATCTTTATTAATTTATTTCATAATAAAATGGATTTTATGAACAAATAATAAATAGTAAATAGAGAAAATATAAATATCGAAAAGAATATATTCATATAAACATATATTTGTGAAATCGAAATTTTTGTAAATTGACTTTCATAGAAATTGTATTTTATAAATTTAATTAAAAAAAGCTGCATTTATCAGATAGAAACATAAAGTAATAAAAATAATATATTCCAATCTTCTCAACACACACACACACCACACACACAAACAACACACACACGCACACAACTTCTTATAACAAATGTTATAAAATTATACATATACAGGATGTAACAACGATCATATATCAGGAGTTTTTAGAAGAAAATACGTATTTTATTGAAAAATGTTTTATTACCAAAGTTATAAGGGTTACTTATCATTACATAGTAGTATTAGTATTATGTTGAATAGCATTATCAAAGTCACATAAAGATTATTTGGAAATAATGGAAACCCTCATTTTTTATTGCATGTACATACATGTAGCTTACTTTAGAGCTTTTCTAAATAAATTTTCATTCTGGCAACATAATTAAGTAAAAGTGCTTGTTATATATATTATATAAATTATATATATATATATATATATATATATATATACAAGTGTAATAAATAAGTATTTCTTTATATATATAAATATATATGTTTTATATACAAATTGACATGATTATATATGCACCCTTATTTTTATATATAAATTTACATAATTATGTATAAAAATGGACATATTTTAAAGAAATGAATGAGTGAGTGAACGAGTAACTGGCTGTTGCCGTAAAACGATATGATTGATTGCATTGATTACTAATTGATAGAATACTAACAATAAGCATAAAGGATCAAGAAAGAGAGAGAGAGAGAGAGAGAGAGCTCTCTTTTTTTATTTTCAAAAAATAGTGACATTCAATGCAAACGATCAATTATACATATATTTCTTTACGACACATACAACCGGGAAAAATTTTTTATATATAATTATATTAAAATAATTGTATAATTTTATACATATAATCGCAAAATTATATGTATAATTATACAATTATTTTATATAATTATATATAAAAATTTTTCCTCGGCTGTACGTGTCGTAAAGAGATATACAATTCACCGTTTGCATTGAATGTCTCTATTTTCGGGAAAGAAAAAAAAGCTCGCTCTCTCTTCTCTCTCTCTCTCTCTCTCTCTCTCTCTCTTTGTCTCTCTCTTTTGTTTATAGATTGCATACAATTTATCTTACATTTACAGTAAAAGTAATTTTTATAACAATTTACAGGTATATGCGAACAAATAAAATTCGTTAGAATCACAATGTCTATCAAATATATATTTCAGTAAAATCATTACTCGAATTACTTCGATGTATGAAAAATAAGATTTAGTTTTTATAAATTATAAATGCATATACTTATTATCTATAAAAATCATGTGAATATTATTGTATTATACAAATATAATTAAAATAAAATTGTATGTCATTATATATTTCATGTGTTTGATAATATAAATAACACAAAATTTTTTCTGTTTTATATATAGTTTTTATAGAAAAAAATTGATGTATTATTTATATTATCAAACATAAAATATATAATGGCATACATTGGCTACACTAATTCAGAGGTTATCTTTTTCCTTCCAATGTCGAACAAAAAAGACAACCTCTGAACTAATGTGGCCAGTGTAGCCAAAACGAACAGACCTTATAAAAAACAGAAGAGAGAGAGAGCGAGAGAAAGAGAGAGAGAGAGAGAAACACGTTGCAGCTCCATCTATCACGATATCACGCAACTAATCTACTGCTCTGTTTTATTCCGCAGCCTCGATTTGCACACACACATATGCGTGAAATGTTTTTTATATATAACTTTTTTATTAGACTTGCAATCTCACTTTTAATTGCTTACTAATATTTCTTCATATAATCCTTACCGCGCATACTATATTTCATGCACAGACAAACTGCAAAACTTTTTTATTAAATAAGTATTATTACGAACTGACACAAAGCAGCCGATAACAAAACTGTAATTTTTGATTTTTATATGATTTATATATGCAAACATAGCTAGCGCGGTCCGTTTTTATAAGTACTTTAATCGTGGAAAAGGATTTATTGATCAGTATAGTCAATAAAAAGTTATATGAAAAAAATAAATATTCTCGCATTCGGTCGGTAAAAACATCATTTAGGATCCCTTAACTAATATTAAAAACTAATATTAGGAGAAAAATTAACTTGAGGAAACATAAAACTAACCTGAGAAAAAATACTACTAATATGAAGAAAAATAATACTAATATTAGGAAAAATAAAACTAATATTAGGAAAAACAAAACTAATATGAAAAATTAAACTAATATTAGGAAGAATAATACTAATATTAGGAAAAATGTATTTTCGGCAAGTTCTAAAGTATTAAAAGTTAATATAAAATTGAGAAATGTGGCGCGCGCTCGTAGCGCGCTTTTGTTGTTCTAGTATTTTAAAAAAATTAATGAGAAGGAATAAATTATCGATTCATTTGTCTACCTCTATTGGATATACCTTATATTGCATAAGGTCACGAGTGCATATTATTCTTGTAACTTTTTGAAAGTTTCTAGAAGTTATTATTTTCTAAGAATGCGTGTTTTTCTATAAAGATAAAGTTTAAACAAAGTTACTATATTTTTTACATTTCTATTTTTCCAACGTTCGAAAAGTAGGGGAGACTAGGGCTAAATGTTACATGGATAAAATGTTACACCTATAAAATTATCCAACAAACAGTTTGTATCACTTGTCAAAGTGAAACATTTAACAAAGATGGTAATATTTATAATCATTATCTGTACTTACTTGAAATCTGAGATCACCCACTGGAGGTTTAGCATATGATATTCCACGAAAGGCATTGTAAGAACCATAGATGCTTTCTTCGACGATGCCGACTAATGTCCCTTCAAACACATTTACTGTTACTCTGTTCGACGATGCAGCGAAGGATGACTCTGAAAAATTTATGCTCTGGCTAATTTATTGCGAAAAATAAGTACTTTTATATAAACATATATAGACATTTTTTTATTGTGATCCAATAACTACGCGATGTCAAAATAGAGTTCGTATCTTCATAAATATGAAGACATTATAAATAATTATTTTGTATGGTACAAGGAAAACGTCGCTTCTATTAAATATATAGATTGTAACAGCAATAAAACTACTATTAACAAATTCTTTAATATTGCAAACAGAATTTGTCTAGTTGCAGATAAAGAATCTTTTTATTTAACAAAATTAATTTTCCTTATAAATAATTTTGCTATCTGTACAACAACTACTAATCTTTATTGTACAAGATATATGTACAACTATAACAATGAACAGATACTTTTCAATGTCATTTTTTTGAAAAAGGAAAAATATATTAGTTGCTATATATGGTTAAATTTTAAGTGTTACCAAAAGTTACAACGTAGTTCCCTTGTAGAAATTTAACATTAGTAACGCCAATTAATCATTTATTTCGAGTACTTAAAATAATAAAATACAATAATTTAAGTACTCGAAATAAGTGAATAAGCACTCAAAATAAGAGATAAATTGGTGTTACTAGTGATAAATTTCTATAAGGGTTAGATTTTTATACAGGTATATAGAATTATATATACAGAGTATCTCAAAATTATATTCTTCAGCAAAAATGTCGAGAGGGATGTCATAATTTTTTCTGTTTCCAATTTTTACCATGTACATACATATATTTTAGTAACTAAATCTTAAATTAAAATTCTATTATAATAAAGAATGTAGTTTTGTTAATATTTCATTTTCACAAGGCTTAATTTCTAATTTATAATTATAGTAATAATGTATAATAATAAGGTATAATAAGGCTTAAGTTATAATTAAACGAAAAACTTAATTTTTTTCAATCGCTTATAACTCGAAAATTATTGGTGCCTCGACATTTCTGCCGAGAAAAAATCGTCTCCAAATGATCTCCATTGACACATCAATCTGTTTCTCACTGTCAGTCTTATGTTAGTTTGTCAGTTTTTGAACTAAAAGGTTTTTTTTCGGAGGAATTTAATTTTAGAGTTAGATTTCTTTTTATTTTATCTCATACTATAGGTCTGTGTAAAGTTTCGTATAGTTAACGAATGGTTCTGTGTGGTAGAAAATTGTTCGAATTTGGTATAACCTTTTGATAATTTAAGTCTGTTCTCCCAATCCCATCGTTGGTTTCCTTTAATAAGAATCTTCATTCGAGGTTTTTTAATAATATTTAAATAATCATACGTAGTTCCATTTTTCACTGGAGACCATGTAAAATTAGCTGAAGAAGGTGTTGGATTTCTGCAATAAATGTGTAATTGATTATTATTACGTGATTGTACGATGTCACAGTAAATATTCGTATAAGAAATGTCAAGTCTACGGTACCCCGTTTTAGCAAAATTTGTCCACATCTGCGTTAAGTATTCCATAATTTTATAATCCGGCGTACCACGTGCAAATGGTAACACACCGAATGTTTTTCCTATATGAGGATAAAATAAATAGCCCAGTTCCTCGAAGTGAGATGTACCTGCAAAATATTGTTACGTAAATTAATTTCAAACGTTGATAATTTTTTCCATACATTACAAGTGCATTATAAAATTTATATTAAATGTTCTCTAAATTTTTTAAATCAAATTTCTCCAGAACTACGTGTGTCTTTTTACAATCATATGTAGAAAAAATTTCACGTTTACTTCTTTTCTAACTGTAATATTAATTTGATTCTTACATAGTTCTATTTTAATTAACAACGCAATACCTGAAAGCGGTTTTTGAAAAAATATTTTCTTCACAGGAGAGGTTTCACTTTTGTACGAAAATTTGTACAAGTAAGTCGACTCGTTAACATTAGAATTCATTTGAGTATCAATTGCTTGTATAATGCCTCTATAGATATGCTGATCGCCGATAAAATCAGAAAGATAATTTATAGTTTCCTCCGACACTGTTTATTACCAAAATACAATGATCGTAATTCTGGTACCGTGATCCCAAGTTGTGGTAATTGACGCAAAACTCTAGGATATATGGCTTTCTTGAAATCATAATCAATTTCCTTTAAAGTCTCGTTGTTTAACACTGAAACACAATTTTATAACGATTTTAATTTTAATTTTATTTGATTTTATTTATTTTAATTTTAATTTTAATTTTTAATTTCTATAATGATTTCTTATTTAGGTATTATAAATATATATGTAGCTCTATTACGTAGAAACAAAACGGTTTTATTAATAAATAATTAATAATATTTTGTACATTATTAATATATTTTGTGCTATTAATTATTAATATTGATTAAATTTATTATAACATTCTATGTTCATCAAAACATTTTCAAAATATTGCAGATCGTTTTTCTATGAAAATTCTACATAAAATAGTGATTCATGATATACTAATAATTAATAATGTGTAATAATGAAAAGCAAAAGCAAATATATATATTTACGGCCGACAAAAGTGGCATTAATGAAACAATTGCCTTCCTGGTTATTATATCCGAACATAATTGGTATTTCAATTCCATTACGTAATAATTGCAATGGATTTTCTGGTAAAAAAGGATTCGATGACTTGGAATCCACGGTCGGCGTAAATGCAAGCAAAATATCTAAGCCAATCTGCAAGAACATAATATTCTTAATATAAAAAAATAGTTTATAGTAATTCATCGAACATTATTATTGCAATAATCGTAATAGAGCGTCAAAAGACCTCCGCTGCTATCAAATTTCTTCCGTCTATGTCTTTCAGAAATTTCAAGGCGTCTTCCGGATCAAAAGTCGCATTACCAAGCTTCTGAGCTAACATCAGACCGTTATTGATAGCATCGTCTTGTTCAGTGAAAGCCCAAGGAACTGTCATGACACCACTTTGACATATTGCTTTATGAAATAAACCTGTTAAGCACACATGCACATAATATAATTGACACTTGAAGTTTAATATGATTTTATCATGAGATTTTTACATTTTTCCTCTTTGACTCGATTGACACATAAAATTAATTAGCGTGGTTTTAATTTTCAATTCTCAATTTAGAATCGATATTTTTTTACTGAAAGATGTTTAGGTATCTTCTAAGTAATTTTCTACGATGTTTTAAAACGTCGATATTATATAGTTTGCAATCGAAATTTAAGTTAGAATGAAAAAAAATCTTATTAAAAATTTTTTTGCTACAGCAAATCTATAAATGTTTTAAATTTTTTTTGTGTAAAAATGTGTTTCTAATATTCTTAATATATGTATATAATATTATGTCCTGTTGATTCGTACCTTTAGCTAACGGGTGAAATAGTTAATAATGAACCATTACTCCACCCGCATTTTGACCAAAAATTGTGACGTTATCGGGATCTCCACCGAATTGCAATATATTTCTTTTAATCCATCTTAACGCCATAACTACATCTTTTAAGCCCTGATTTCCTGGTTGCCATTTTCTCATCAAAATTGAGAAAACCTAAAGAGAGAATGAGAGAAACATGTCGTTAATACGTTTAGTAAAGTTTACTATCAAGTCTTAAATATTCGTATTCGCTAGTCAGTAAAATAAGGAATATTAAATAGCCGACCAAACTAGCACAAATTAAAATTAATTAAGTTCAACGACGTTTTGACCATGTGTGTTGAAATGTTTTTAACGTTTTTTATTGGAAAAAGACCACATCCACATGTTCGGAAACGTCGCAAAACTTAATTAATTTTAATTTTTGCTAGTTAGGCCGATTATTTAAAAATTTCTAATTTATTTATATAACTATATAAATATATAAAAATTCAACGCTTAAATAAATCGATTTCACGATTTTTTAATTACTTATAATTCGACAATTGTTAATGAAAACAAAATTTATAAAAAAGAATGAAACGTTAAAATTTATAAAAAAGTTATGATAATGATTATTGTTTGAAATTGGTAGTTTAAAAAATCATACATACACGTAAATTATTTGGATCGTGGGAAGTAGAATGCGTGTGTATGTGTTTACTTAAAAAAAAAGGTAGAGCATTGAACGCAAGTAACATAAAATGATTTTGAGCTAATTAATAATGTACCTAGAACACCTAATCTGTAATTCAGGGTGACGGTACCACATCCTTCGCATGATATAATCGGGACCGTAATAAAACGAGGGTACCGTCTCCCAAAAAAAAGCCTCCACCATGTATCCATACCATCACAGCACTTTTCTTTGAAGGTGTTACATCGTTGGTATACACGTTCAAATAGAGACAGTCTTCTTCGCCTATGACAATGTTCGTTTTATCTGAAGACAGACGTTTCCGTTAGACGAGCGTCTCTGTCGCTGGACCATGGTTGGTGGTTGCGGATCCTACAATCAGTGTTTGTTATCTAATTAAAAATTTATAGATGATCAATTAGATAAATTTTGCAGCATTCTTATATTGATATAGATAATAAAAATATGGATTATTTATACATATTAAAAAATAAAAAATTAAAAATTAAAAAATAAAAGTATGAATATATTTTATATATCCCATTTATAATTACATTTTTTTATAAAACTGTGTCTATATAAGCATCTTAAAAACAATATTATCCACAAATTATCGAGATAAATTGTCATGTAATTTTCTTTTATCTAGATATATTTAAAACAAAATAATCTTAATCTAATATAAAGGAGCATATAAACGACACGTGACTCGACGAGTCTGGCTCGGGACTTGCCGCGCCGCGAGCCGGTGTGAATAGACTTATAGCGCGAGAAGGCTTGGCGCGGCGCGTCTTTTCTGTTGATCGTCGATAAATACATACGAGTCAAAGAAACACGTCGCTTGTCGCTTGTCCCGTAAAACGCATTCACACAAACTCGAATAGATTCGTGGTTTGTGTAATGCGCAATGGATTGGTCAAATGAATCAGTAGCGGAATTTTTACATTTGTTGAGTAGATATTCAAAATATGCTGTTGACATTGTGCAGAAATTTTGGAATTTACCAGAAGGTTCTTTGATTAAATCGTTTATAGCATGTCGGTCGCGTTATATTTGTAATAAGTTACATAATTATTAAAAATAGTATAAATCATTTGCACGTTTCAAAAGCATTATAAGTGAATATATATAAAACTTACATAGTCCGACTTTATTTAATGATTACTATTCACCATCGTCTTTACGTCTTTTTCTTTAAAAAAATAATCACCACTCATTAATACGTAGCAAGCTGCTGCACAAGAAAGATATTGTTTTCTCGTTGACAAGACATTTTTAAGTGACAAATGGGTTTCTGTTTAAAGTTCATACAGCCACGACAAGCGGCACGGGATTCGCGAATTAACGCGCCGTGAGAATAATCAAAGTTTGTATAAGGACGAATTGATGAGCTGTACGAGTTGCGTGGGATTCGCGAATAAACGCGCCGTGAGAAACAATAAAGGTTTATAATAAGTCGAATTACGAGCTTGCACGAGCTGCGCGAAACTAGCCGAGTCACGCGTTGTTATGTGCACCTTCACAAGGAACATGTCACCAACTGTCCGGAACGATTTGTTTTCTTTATCAAATATGTTGTTAAATAATATAAATCTAAAATTTAGATTTTTAATTCCAAAATTATTTATACTTTACAAAATACAAAAATTATTATCTACTATTTAAAAAGAGAGGAAAGGAGGGAGAGGAGAGAGAGGAGAGAGAGAGAGAGAGACATGTATGTAGTTTCTTCGTATAATTATTTACGTAATGTAAAATTTTACCATTCTCCAATCGCAACATTTTATTCTTATTTGTTCGAAACACCGTGTAAGCGTGAGAAAGAAAATGTTCGTTCTCAGAATAGCAGCTAAAAAGAATTAACGCCGTTTGAAACTTTTCGACACTCGTTAGAATCGTTGGTCGAATGCTTTGTTATGCTATTAAAAATTAAATTTAATATATATTTACAGAACAAATTATTATATCACAAATTCGAGAGAAATAGAAAATTAAAAAGGCAAATTAAAGAAGTTTTTGAATTTGATCCTAATTTAATTATCTGAAATCGAGATTGTTTTGTAATCGCAAACTAAACTTTTATTGTGAAATATCTGATTTTTATACAATATTGTATAATAACACTTGAATAAATATAATTTAATCTGAATATTATTATGTAAAAAAATCTTTTAATTTTTTAGATGCTTAAAGCAGAGCCTAAAAGTGTTTTTAAATTCTTTGGGATGAGAATTACTGCAGTTTTTTTCTTTTTGCTAGTTAACTAATATTTAAAAAATAATATAGGAGAAATAAAAATAACTTGAGGAAACATAAAAATAATCTGAGAAAAAATACTATAATATTATAAAAAATAACACTAATATTAGGAAAAATAAAACTTCCCTCAGGGGCACTACGGACTCATCCCCGTAGTGTGTACGGTTGTCGCGATCCAGAGGGTACCCGAGCGGAGGGTGGGTGATGGATGTATGAACGGGTGTGATGGGCGTGCAAGCCCTAAAAAGGACTTGTCCACCTGCACTAGGTGAAGGAAAAACACGAAGATAACACCCGGGGGGAGGCCCCGTTTAGCTGAGTAAGCAAAATCCTCCCAAGGGGAAGGAAAACCCCCGACAGAAAAAACCAATTTCTTTTTCAGTATCATGGATAGTTCCGGAAAAGAAGCGATCGTCCTGGGATCGGATACCAGGAACCGCACGGGGGGGAGGGGGGGGTGTAGGCCTGGCTCCTCCATGTCGTCATCGAGCGACAGGTCGTCTGCGGATTTGTCGACGGGGTCCGCAGATGGAAAGTTACAGTGTCGAAACAGCTAGTCGATGAGGTTGGGACCAGCTTATTAAGCTGTCCATTATATGGGAAGACCTTGGGCAGAAAACGATGACCCAAAGGGAGTTGGCTGAGGATATTCATCGCTTCCTCCTGGATGAAGAGATCCGCGGGTTTCGGTTTATTGGCCCAATATACTATGTTGGCCAATTATGCGAAGGGTTCTTGCGGGAGTGTGTGCGCGGCAGAACACCGTTCTGTCGTTATCACAAGTGTGTACGTCTTTTGAGCCTATCGTGCTGAGTGGCTCGACAGAGGAAGTAGAAACTGAATCAGTGAGTGACTCAGTAATGAGGAGTGGACGGTTCTCAGCCTCTCCCCTCTCCTGAAAAGTTGAGAGGGGTTAGTAGCGGTGATGAATGGAAGTTGGTGAGCCATCGTTTATCTCTGTCTTGTCAGGTAGTCCCCGAGAGGCGGGGGTGAGCAGAGCTGACAGGGATGCATCGTGGGCTCCTAAGGACCAAGACGGTCCTAAACGGGGAGAAAACAATTACCGCGAAAGAAGCTTGCAGGTAAAGTGCACTATCCGTAAAAGGGGGGTCGCCTCAAAAACAACTGGGGAATACGCTAATTTAGCGGCTGAGAGGGAGCGGCCTAAATGCTGCCATGAAGGAGGCGCTGAAATTAGAGTATATGGAAAGAGTATTGGATCCTTCCTTTGGTCAACTCTAACCGCAATAGCCCGAAGGAGAAATCCCTTCGGATGCGGCATTTGCAGAGGAGCTCAAGGGAGTCACCACCGTGGAGCTCCCGTAGGCTAGGCGAGAGGTTTGTGACCCAAGTTGAGAGGGTGGCTGGACTCCCCGGCCTGGTGATATCATGGCCGAGGAGCTTCGTGTCTCCTCAAGGAAACTGGTGGTGTATTATCTGTGAGGCTGTTTCCCGAACAACTGTGGAGGCGGATCCAAGGAGGACTCATGAGAAGTGAAAACCAGGGCTTGAGGGGCCACGTCTCAGCTCTGGAACGAGAAGTGGACAAGATTGACGGAGAAGATAGGGTTCCTTCATTCTGCAATCCCTCAAATCGAAGGGTTTTATCTTGGAGATAAGGAGCAAAAGAGACCCCGCCCACCCTCTTCGGGGGTTCTCGCTGTTTCGGCGACGGTGTCGGCGTGTCCTTTGGTCGAGGATCGACCAGTTATGCTGTCCGATTTGTCGTCCCTTCTGGATCGTCGCTTTAGCGACTTGAGGGACGACATATCGATTTCAGTTATGGCCTCGCTTAGGTCGGAGCTCGGTGGGCGGGCTGGGGCCGTCCCCTTTGGGGGGAGATGACTCCCATGCGTGCGCCTACTTGAGTGTAGGTGGTGGGGGGTTGCGCCGAGGCTTGACCTGTGCCTGGGGGCTCTGCCGTTTCCGTTTCTGCGGAAGTCTTGGCGGATGCCCCCGGTCCTGGGGTTTCCAGGAGGAGAGTTAGGTGTCGTCGGCGTGGTTCCGGGCGACCCCCGCAGGAGGCTCAACTAAATAAAGGGAGTATCCTGAAAGGTAGAGCTGAGCAAGGGGGAAAAAAGAAAACCCCAAGACGTCCTCCCCCTGCGGAGTCGGTGGTTTCACTGACGCTCAAGGGGAGAGAGCGGGAAAGGACCTATGCCTCGGTTCTATCCGAGGCCAAGTCCAAAATTGATGTGAAGGATTTGGAGATCAGCTCGCTACGTATGCGTAGGGGAGTGACTGGCAGCATTCTGCTGTCAGTCAAGGGCAAGGATTATCTGGCTAAAGCTGATAATCTGATGTCCAGACTGAAGGATGTGTTCCCATCTGCGGGTGAGGTGAGGATTGGTCGTCCCTCTCGTACGGAGGATGTTCGGTTGAGGGGGACGATGATGTCCTTTACTAGGCAGGACATCCTCCGGGAAGTTGCTTCGGCTGGAGGCTGTAGTGTTGCGGAGCTAACGGCTGGGGAAATCCGTTTGTTCCCTAGGTCGGATGTCGGGACAATCTGGATCCGCTGTCCGGCTGGGGCTGCGCGGAAGCTTCTAGCTGGGAAGAAATTGACACTGGCGGGGGGGTGGGCGACGCTGGATGTGATTCATCTGGCTCGTCGCCCCCTGCAGTGCTATCGGTGACATGAGTTTGGCCATTCGGCCAATTCCTGTGGCGCTGATGCAGACCGTAGCGGCGTGTGCTATAGGTGCGGTAATTTGGGGCATAAGGCTGCCAATTGTGTGGCGCCCGCCCGTTGTTTTTCGAGCGCGGCTCGAGGGAAGCCGTCGGGACATCGGATAGGTTCGGCGGCCTGTGCAAAGACGCGCGTCCCTCCCAAGAGACATCAGGGGGGTAGAGAAACTACCCCAACAGAACGTGCGCAGGCTCCGGGGCGCCCTGATGGGGGGCCTGCGAGCCCGGAATGGACGAGGGTGGACTGCAGTCTGCGCCGGAGGAAGTCGCTGAGAGGTGGCTCCCCTGTGCCGGGCTGCAGTTCTGCCCCCGATGTTTAGTGTTGGTTTTGTCCTCTGTCTGTCGTACTGTGTAGCGGTGGGTGCGGGGAGTTCCGGGGAGGTTGCCGAAAGGTGACTCCGTGGTCTCCCTGCCCCGCCAAGTTTATGTTGTAGGTTGCGGCGATGGGTGATTGAGTGCCGGGGAGGTTGCCGAGAGGTGACTCCGCGGCCTCTTCACCCGCGCCAAGTTTATGTCGTTCTTGTCTTGTTGTCTTTTGTTACAGGTGGGAGTAACAACCCTCCCACCTTTACTGTGGTTTGGCCATAGTGCCTTACTGTGGACCCTAGAGGGCTGGGCCTGTGGCCCTTACTATGTTTTGATGTGGTTGTGTACATGTGTCATGCACTGTTGGTCTTTTGTAACGTCCTGTGACGTTTTTGTGTGTGTGGGTGGGTGACTGCGGTCACCTCACTTGCCGGGTCGGCAGGGAGAGGGGTGGGGGCCCTGATCTCATTGCACGTCGACCCAGGGAAGTCCGGGGGGAGCTAGTAGCCCGGCTCCCCTTGATGCCCTTTCGGGGCAAGGGATGTCCTCTCCGGGGGGATACCTGTAGTATCCTCTCGGGGGATGTGTCCTTCCTAAAGGACGCCGGTCGGGTGTCCACCGTGAAGTAATGCTCACGCGGTTCCGCGGTGGACAACATCCATACGACCAGGGGCTTCAGTCAGGTTTTAGGTCGGTCCCCCGTCCGATAGTCCCTCGGGATACTACGGGCGGGAATCCACCACGAAGCCTCCTGGCCCTCCCTCAAAGGTCAGGAGGGCGAAGTTTGGTGTAGGCAAATTTCCTGACTTAAAAAAAAAAAAAATAAAACTAATATTAGGAAAAACAAAACTAATATGAAACATATACTATAATAATATTAGGAAAAATAATACTAATATTAGGAAAAATGTATTTTCGGCAAGTTCTAAAGTATTAAAAGTTAATATAAAATTGAGAAATGTGGCGCGCGCTCGTAGCGCGCTTTGTTGTTCTAGTATTTTAAAAAAATTAATGAAGGAATGAATTATCGATTCATTTGTCTACCTCTATTCGATATACCTTATATTGCATAAGGTCACGAGTGGATATTATTCTCGTAACTTTTTAAAAGTTTCTAGAAGTTAATAATTTTAAAGAGTGCGTGTTTTTCTATAAAGATAAAGTTTAAACGAAGTTATTACATTTTTCACATTTCTATTTTTTCCAACGTTCGAAAAGTAGGGGAGACTAGGGCTAAATATTACATGGATAAAATGTTACACCTATAAAATTATCCAACAAACAGCTTGTATCACCTTGTGAAAGTGAAACATTTAACAAAGATGGTAATATTTATAATCATTCTCTGTACTTACTTGAAATCTGAGATCACCCACTGGAGGTTTAGCATATGATATTCCACGGAAGGCATTGTAAGAACCATAGATGCTTTCCTCGACGATGCCGACTAATGTCCCTCCAAACACATTTACTTTTACTCTGTTCGACGATGCGGCGAAGGATAACTCTGAAAAATTTATGCTCAGGCTAATTTATTGCAAAAAAAAAAAATAAGTATTTATATATAAACATATATAGACATTTTCTTATCATGATCCAATAGCTGCGCGATGTCAAAATAGAGTTCGTATCTTGATAAACATGAAGACATTATGAATAAATAATTATTTTGTGCGCTACAAGGAAAATTTCGCTCTTATTAAATATATACATTGTAACAGCAATAAAACTACTATTAACAAATTGTTTGATATTGCAAACAAAATTAGTATTGTCGCAGATAAAGAATCTTTTTATTATATTTAACAAAATTAATTTTCTTTATAAATCATTTTGCTATCTGTACAACTAATAAATTTTATTACACAAGATATATGTATGTACAATTATATCAACGAACGGATACTTTTTAATGTCATTCCTTTGAAAAAAAAAATATAAAAAAATTTTAAGTGTTACTAAAAGTTACAACGTAGTTCCCTTGTAGAAATTTAACATTAGTAACGCCAATTAATCACTTATTTCAAGTAATTAAAATACTGATATACAGTAATTTAAGTACTCGAAATAAATGAGTAAGCACTCGAAATAAGAGATAAATTGGTGTTGAGAGAGAAACTAGTGATAAATTTCTATAAGGGTTAGATTTTTATATAGGTATATAGAATTATATATACAGAGTATCTCAAAATTATATTCTTCAGCTAAAATGTCGAGAGGGATGTCATAATTATTTCTGTTTTCAATTTTTACAATGTACATACATATATCTTAGTAACTAAATCTTAAATTAAAATTCTATTATAATAAAGAATGTAGTTTTGTTAATATTTCATTTTCACAAGGCTTAATTTCTAATTTATAATTAGTAATAATGTATAATAATAAGATATAATAAGGCTTAAGTTATAATTGAACGAAAATCTTAATTTTTTTCAATCGCTTATAACTCGAAAATTATTGGTGCCTCGACATTTCTGTCGAAAAAAATCGTCTCCAAATAATCTCCATTGACAAATCAATCTGTTTCTCACTGTCAGTCTTATGTTAGTTTGTCAGTTTTTTGCACTAAAAGGTTTTTTTTCGGAAAAATTCAATTTTAGAGTTAGATTTCTTCTTATTTTATCTCATACTATAGGTCTGTGTGAAGTTTCGTATAGTTAACGAATGGTTCTGTGTGGTGGAAAATTGTTCGAAATTGGTATAACCTTTTGATAATTTAAGTCTGTTCTCCCAATCCCATCGTTGGTTTCCTTTAATAAGAATCTTCATTCGAGGTTTTCTATTAATATTTAAATAATCATACGTAGTTCCATTTTTCACTGGAGACCATGTAAAATTAGCTGAAGAAGGTGTTGGATTTCTGCAATAAATGTGTAATTGATTATTATTACGTGATTGTACGATGTCACAATAAATATTCGTATAAAAAATGTCAAGTCTACGGTACCCCGTTTTAGCAAAATTTGTCCACATCTGCGTTAAGTATTCCATAATTTTATAATCCGGCGTACCACGTGCAAATGGTAACACACCGAATGTTTTTCCTATATGAGGATAAAATAAATAGCCCAGTTCCTCGAAGTGAGATGTACCTGCAAAATTTTGTTACGTAAATTAATTTCAAACGTTGATAATTTTTTCCATACATTACAAGTGCATTATAAAATTTATATTTAAATGTTCTCTAAATTTTTTAAATCAAATTTCTCCAGAACTACGTGTGTCTTCTTACAATCATATATAGAAAAAAATTTCACGTTTACTTTTTTTCTAACTGTAATATTAATTTGATTCTTACATAGTTCTATTTTAATTAACAACGCAATACCTGAAAGCGGTTTTTGAAAAAATATTTTCTTCACAGGAGAGGTTTCACTTTTGTACGAAAATTTGTACAAGTAAGTCGACTCGTTAACATTAGAATTCATTTGAGTATCAATTGCTTGTATAATGCCTCTATAGATATGCTGATCGCCGATAAAATCAGAAAGATTTTCTATAGTTTCCTCCGACACTGTTTTATTACCAAAATACAATGATCGTAATTCTGGTACCGTGATCCCAAGTTGTGATAATTGACGCAAAACTCTAGGATATATGGCTTTCTTGAAATCATAATCAATTTCCTTTAAAGTCTCGTTGTTTACCACTGAAACAATTTTTATAACGATTTTAATTTTAATTTTATTTGATTTTATTTATTTTAATTTTAATTTTAATTTTTAATTTTTATAATGATTTTTTATTTAGGTATTATAAATATATATGTAGCTTTATTACGTAGAAACAAAACGGTTTTATTAATAAATAATTAATAATTATTTTGTACATTTAAAAGTTATATATTGATGAAATCCTGAAACTTATTAATTTTGATTAAATTTATTATAACATTCTATGTTCATCAAAACATTTTCAAAATATTGCAGATCGTTTATCTATGAAAATTCTACATAAAATAGTGATTCATGATATACTAATAATTAATAATGTGTAATAATGAAAAGCAAAAGCAAATATATATATTTACGGCCGACAAAAGTGGCATTAATGAAACAATTGCCTTCCTGGTTATTATATCCGAACATAATTGGTATTTCAATTCCATTACGTAATAATTGCAATGGATTTTCTGGTAAAAAAGGATTCGATGACTTGGAATCCACGGTCGGCGTAAATGCAAGCAAAATATCTAAGCCAATCTGCAAGAACATAATATTCTTAATATAAAAAAATAGTTTATAGTAATTCATCGAACATTATTATTGCAATAATCGTAATAGAGCGTCAAAAGACCTCCGCTGCTATCAATTTTCTTCCGTCTATGTCTTTCAGAAATTTCAAGGCGTCTTCCGGATCAAAAGTCGCATTACCAAGCTTCTGGGCTAACATCAGACCGTTATTGATAGCATCGTCTTGTTCAGTGAAAGCCCAAGGAACTGTCATAACACCACTTTGACATATTGCTTTATGAAATAAACCTGTTAAGCACACATTCGCACATAATATAATTGACACTTGAAGTTTAATATGACTTTATCGTGAGATTTTTACATCTTTCCTCTTTGACTCGATATGACACATAAATTTAATCTGCGTGGTTTTAATTTTCAATTCTCAATTTAGAATCGATATTTTTTTACTGAAAGATGTTATCAGATATCTTCTAAGTAATTTTCTACGATGTTTTAAAACGTCGATATTATATAGTTTGCAATCAAAATTTAAGTTAGAATGAAAAAAAAATCTTATTAAAAATTTTTTTGCTACAGCAAACCTATAAAATTTTTTAATTTTTTTTTGTGTAAAATATGTTTCTAATATTCTTAATATATGTATATTAATATTATGTCCTGTTGATTCGTACCTTTAGCTAACGGTGAAATAGTTAGATAATGAACCATCACTCCACCCGCATTTTGACCAAAAATTGTGACGTTATCGGGATCTCCACCGAATTGCAATATATTTCTTTTAATCCATCTTAACGCCATAACTACATCTTTTAAGCCCTGATTTCCTGTTGCTATTTTCTCATCAAAATTGAGAAAACCTAAAGAGAGAATGAGAGAAACATGTCGTTAATACGTTTAGTAAAGTTTACTATCAAGTCTTAAATATTCGTATTCGCTAGTCAGTAAAATAAGGAATATTAAATAGCCGACCAAACTAGCACAAATTAAAATTAAGTTTCACGACGTTTTGACCATGTGGTTAAAATGTCTATAACGTTTTTCACTTGAAAAGAACCACAACCACATGTTCGAACTTTTAATCTGTGCTAGTTTGGCCGATTATTTAATATTCCTTATTTATTTATATAAATTATGTAAATATATAAAATGTTTAACGATTAAATAAATTGATTTCACGAGTTTTTGTAATTACTTATAATTCGACAATTGTTAAAAAAAAAACATTTATAAAATGTTATGATAATTGATTATTGTTTTGAAATTGGTAGTTTAAAAAAATCATACATAGACGTAAATTATTTGGATCGTGGAAAATAGAATGCGTGTGTATGTGTTTACTTAAAAAAAAGGTAGATTATTGAACGCAAGTAACATAAAATGATTTTGAGCTAATTAATAATGTACCTAGAACACCTAATCTGTAATTCAGGGTGACGAGTACCACATCCTTCCGCATGATATAATCGGGACCGTACAAAGCCGAGGTGCTGTCTCCCACAAAAAAGCCTCCACCATGTATCCACACCATCACAGCATTTTTCTTTGAAGTCGTCATATCATTGGTATACACATTCAAATAGAGACAGTCTTCGTTGCCGACTGTGTATTTCATATCCACCTGAAGACAGTTGTATCCGTAAGACAAAGCGTCTCTATCGCTGGACCATGGTTCTGGTGGTTGCGGATCCTACAATCAGTGTTTTTTATCTAAATATATTTTTATAGATGATCAGTTATATGAAATTTTGGCGCACTCTTATCTTGTTATAGATAATAAAAAGGTGTATGATTTATATCTGCATCTTAGATGAAAGAAAGTACTAATTAGTAATCATAATCCTTTCGTAAATTATTCAGATAATTTGTTTTAGAGTCATAGCATAAAAATAATTAATTACTAGAACTTAAGCAAGAAGCGATAAAAATTAAAAATAAAAGTATGAATATATTTTTATATCCCATTTATAATTTACTTTTTTTATAACTGTGTCTACATAAACGATCTTAAAAATTATATTAATTGGAAGTTATCTAGATAAATCGCCACATAATTTTATCTTTTATATATTTAAAACAATATCATTTTAATTTTATCTAACGATGAGGTAAATTTACATATTCATCTCATCTTTATTTTGCTAATTATAAATCATCTAACAATAAGCACAACACTGCCTACAATAAATATGTAAAATTTTAAAAATTACAACAAACACTTGTAGTAACGTATACACATGCAATACAAAATGAGATATGAAACGGGATAAGCATTTGTTTTTCTCATTATTTTGAATATTACGATCTTCTTCAACAGATTTACTAATAGAAGATTCAGATGTCTTGAAAATCTCTGTTGTTTAATCAGAGCCAATTGGGATCTGTTCTAAATTTGGCGATATTGTTAAGTCATAAATCCTTACTTTAAAAAAAGATATGTTAACTAAGTAAATTTAATTTTAATCAAAGTATTAAGAGTTTTTTTCCGCGATGGCTGCTTGTTTCGAAGTTTGTTTCGCGGCTTGAATCACAACCAAGTTGTTTGTCAGTTTTACAATTTGTGATTAAATTTAATTAATATTATTTTAATTTGCCGAGTTCCTATTATGCACATAATTTTGTTTATGTCATCGATCTTTATTATGTACATAATTTTAATTCACCGGTTTAGCTGGTTGAAGTTTGGAACGTTTCAGGAGCGATTTTCTAATAACGGGTTTGTTGCCATTACCCTTTTGCATAGAGCAAGTTCTGAGGGCCAAAAACAAAGTACAGAAACGATTAATGCAATACACGCGTCGGAAGACACCCTTATATTCGAAAAACCACCCCTAAAATCAAATAAAATATTCTTGCACCTCAACGAATGATGTATCGCTTTTGTGCTGTTGCATAGAGGAGCTCCTAACATTCTTACACAACGTACAAAACAGTACGATTCGATACATGCATCGGAAGACACCCTTATACTCGAAAAACAACCCTTAAAATCACTTAAAAGATCCTACATCTCAACGAATGATTTGTCGCCCTTATGCTTTTGCATAGAGGAGCTCTTAACATTCTTACACAACGTACAAAACAGTACGATTCGATACATGCATCGGAAGACACCCTCATACTCGAAAAACAACTTTTAAAATCACTTAAAAGATCCTACATCTCAACGAATGATTTGTCGCTCTTGTACTTTTGCATAGAGGAGCTCCTAACATTCTTACACAACATACCAAACAGTACGATTTTATACTCGTATTTTTCAAGTTATTTTATTATCATAATCTGATATTTTAATATAAAAATATAACATATCTCCTTAAATATTTATTTTTTGATAATTTTATCCTAATATTTTCATGCACAGAATAATGAGACAAATCGATTGGTGTAAAGAAAACGCAGTTGTCTTTAACACAAAATGTGTAATTTACAATGTACTTTTTGTTAACCTCTTGAGTGTTAGTGACGCACATATGCGCAGAAAAAAGTCGTGCCATTTTTGTCTCATGACGCATATGTGCGCATTTGAAAAAAAAACATGTTTATACTTTATCGATTCGATTGTAATTTGGTAAATCATGGTTTTTGAGGTCGCTGAAATCGGATTTTCAAAATTCAAAATGACGGATCCAATATGGCGGACGCAAATGCGAACAATGGTTCGATTTTGACAAAAATTTGTATCTCTAGATGTTTGTGATCGCGAATGTACAATTTGAATCCTGACTCTAAGTATCTGAAACTCGGATACATTATGACGAATAAAAATTCAGCAAACCATTCATGGCAAATTATCCATCGTAAAAAATGTAAAAGAATATTTTTTTGTTTTTATATCCCGCTCTCTGATATATTTATATTGTTTATATTATTTTTTATATTATGTGAGATATGTTCTAGCATTCAGGCGCTCAAATTCAAATCAACCGAAACCATAAGGAACTCATTTTCATTGGAATCAAACTATTTTTCAAATTTGCATTCGCTATTTCAAATTTTGGAAATCCGATTTCAGATTCGGATTCAGCGACCTCAAAAACCATAATACTAAAACTATAGGATAAATCAATGAAAATTTTTTTCCAAGACAAAAATGGCACGAAAAGCTTATTTTCGTCTGACAGCTAAGGGATTAAAAGCCCAACCGTGCCTTTTCTTTACATTAATCGACTTGTCTTATTATTCTGTGCATAAATGTATTAAGATAAGATTATCGAAAAGTTAATATTTTACGAGATATTATGTATTTTGTATCAAAATATCAGATTATGATAATAAAATAACTTAAAAAATACTCCATAAACAATATATAATTATAGTGTTTTGAAAAGCTCTCGAACTAAGCTACAAGAATATGTAATAAAAAATAGGGGATGCAATTTTAAGACTCCTGGCTACGCTCCTGGCTCTCTACTCGCTACGCGTTGGAAACAAAAGACGATTCTGTCTCACTCACGATAATTCCAGCGATATTGTTTTGTTTCCAACGTTTGGCTTCTACGGTGTTGTGTAGCACAAATGCTTGATTCTCTGTGAAAATTTTATTTTTTCGAAATATAATAGAAGGTTTATTATATATCAAAAGTGTTATGTTGTTGCGTATGCATTTATACGTACTTTGTGATTAATATTGCTATCCAAACAGTAAAATGGATAATTTACAAAAAATCAACTCTATTGAAATAAGGAGATTTGCAGAAATATTATGTAATTTGATGAATTCCATAGAAGATATTAACTTTGATTTTTGTGGGAAAGGATCTGTTTGCGAATTAGTAAGTGTCTTCTTTTAAATATTATATATATATAAACTGAAAAGAATTTACAGAAGAAAGAGATAAGAATGTTATCTTTTTAATTAATAATAATTTTTTATAGAAAAATTTTAATTACATACTTAAAGTTATAATTTCTTTCACTACCAAGAAGAGGCCGCGTGATGTTGCTCTCGGATTTAGATCAACTTTTTACCATTTGTAAGAAGGGGGGAGGTGTCCTGAGTACACTTAAAATATTAAGTGTAGATGGCCAGCCATTCGTTAGTAATTAACAAAGAAACATTTTATGTCAGGTAAATTTCTATATTCTAGCTCAATTTGCAAAGTGTTATTAAACATTACTAACTTTTTAATAATTTTTTCGTATTCAAGAGGTCAAAATCTACAAAAAAAAAACACTATTCCTTCTACTTATACCTTTGAGGGCAAAAATCGATCACTTTTTTTTACATTCTAGTTTAGCTGAGAGAAGATGATAAAAAATGATCGATTTTTGCCTCCAAAGGTCTAAGTAGAAGAAATAGTGTTGTTTGTAGATTTTGACTTCCTGAATACGAAAAAATTATTAAAAAGTTCGTAGTGTTTGGGGAATACCTTGCAAATTGAGTTAGAATATAGAAATTTACCGGACATAAAATGTTTCTTTGTTAATTACTAACGAATGGCTGGCCATTTACACCTAATATTTTAGGTATGCACGCAGGGCACTCCCCCTACAAATAGTAAAAAGTTGATCTAAATCTGAGAGCAACATCACGCGGCCTCTCTTAGTAAGTTTATTATAAAAATTTTTCTATTTTATATTTATGTATTTGTTTAATTTTATATCTAATTTTACATTTATGCATTTTTGTTTTTCCAGCTATTTCAAAAACAAAAAAAAAATTTGATCGAAAGAAATTCTTGAATTATAAAAGGATATGGAATAACAATCAGGGAAATATACGAAGTATTGTACTAAATGTATTACAATCTCGATCCAAAGATACAACGAATATTATGACAAAATCTGTACATGAAGAGACTAGAAATAAATTATGAACCGTTACACAATAGTTTAGCTACACCACAGCGATGTACTGTAATATCGACGCGTAAATTACTTTTTAATGAAAATGACATGGAAAAGTTGACTGATATTGATTGCAATGCGAAAGTACCATAGATTGCGTGAATAATAGTGATAATACATTTAGCAGTAAAGGCGACAATAGTGACAGTTCTATACAATTTCATAAAAAAAATAACAAAAAAAAGTTGACTGATGTTGATATGCAATGCGAAAATAACATAGATTGCGTAAGTAATAGCGATAATACATTTAATAGTAAAAGCGACAATAATGATAGTTCCATACAATTTCATCAAAAGAACGTGAACTTACAAGTACAAAAGAAATTTTCCATTTTGCAAGGACGATTTCATATTCAACGAAATATCATTTTTAACGAATATGAAATCATTAACAGAGATAAAATACGAAAAATAATACAATACAATATGGTACATTTGCTACATTTTCCATGTCCGTTAAAGTTTTATGGCGGAATACGACGTAACAGTGATTGTTTAGTAACATACGCAAAGTGCAGATACATCAGTCATGTACAACAATTTAAGTTTGATATAGGGAATTTAAATAATGCTATTGTTGATGTATTTGTTTCAAGTACAAAATGTACTGAAATATTGCACAAAAGACCACCTATTTTTTTAATTTAAAAGGTGAATCGCGAGATCAGGCAAAGTTAAAAATGAATTATATATCTCCTCGAATGTTGCAATTAAAAACATTGGAAAATATGGATCATGAACTTGCTAATGATGGATATTTTGAAAAATTGCGTAGACTTAGTACTTATCAAAAAGCAAAATCTGAGGAAAATAAAAAAAATGACTCATATCTTTCTTCATACGATTTATCTGATTTATTTCAGAAATATATTATAGATCAAGAATCTAATGATCCATATATACGAAATGTAGGTTTGTCATTCCATGTATATATGTATACAGAGAAACAAATTAATGTATTGGATAAAAATGACATTATAATTCATTTTGATGCTACTGGCTCTATTATCCGTAAACCAAAAGGTATAAAGTGCAAACGCATTCTATATTATGCAATCGTTGTTAATAAGAATGGTACTATACTTCCAGTAGCTGAAATGATAACCGCAGTACACGATATTAATGCAATTAGTATATTTTTGAAAACATTCCGACATTTTTTGCCAACTAAACGTTTTAGCTGGCCATTATTCTCAGTTATCGTTGTCGACTGGAGTTGGGCATTAATTAATGCAATTATAAACGAGTGGAATACACTAACAGTATCACAATATTTAGAAGAAGTTTACATAACGCTTAATAAGAAAGAAATAATACGTTCAAACTTAATTGTTGTACATAGCTGTTGTGCACACTTTCAAAAGCGCATTTTGTCTACTATTTCTAACAAATTTTCGAAAAGTATTAAAAATAAAAGTCTCATATTAGAGTGCATGGGTATATTGATACATTGTAACACTTTAGACGATTTAGATTATTGTTATGAAAATTTTATGATCATATTATTGACATCATCTAACAAAGAGGCTCATAATAGTATTATCGATATGAAAAAATTTCATGCTTCAAAATATAAATTTGAGAATGAAATACACGATGTAAACTCAGATTTTGAAAGTGACGCAGACTTTGTAGACAATAATGAGCCAGAAGGTCGAATTTTCATTAATTCGCCATTTTTTAAAAGATACATATCGAAATTGTGCGATTTAAAAAATACTGTTGAAAAAAATAGTGTAAAAGATAATAAATACTATGCTCCAGAAATTGCAGATTACATTACAAGTCATTATATGCCTTTTGTTCCAATGTGGTCTGCGTTACTATTAAAACTGGTTACACCTGATAAAATTCGATTAAGCAATGCGAATGTTGAAAGTTTTTTTAATATTGTAAAAAAAAATGTTTTAAATGATGAAGTAAACTTAAAAGTTGGACGTTTTGTTAAAAAAATAAAAGATTATACAACACAAGTATGCGCTGAATTGAAATTGAATATATCTATAAAACGCAGAAAACGTAATATTAAATATTGTAATACACAAGACACAAATAACGAATTAATAGAAGAAACGTGGCAAAAAAAGCAAAAACCTTTGTACAGTTATTTTGAAGCTCGCTCCTTAGGACGCATAGCTAGAAAGTATAACTTTCGTACAAGTACGCCTATATCAAATAAAAATACAATAGATTTATCAAAATTAAACTTAAGCGAAAGTTCTACTCATGCAAATGCCCTTGAAAATGGGTTATTTTTGGATGTCGAATATTATATGAAATCACCAGACTCTACATTTACAATTGAACAATATGGATCAATAACAAATGCATCAGTAACAGGATTTGATATTTATAATCTTATTGCAGAAGAATTTTGTACTTTAAAAAATGAAAATTGGATTGAAGGCAAGATTATTGATTGTTTCGCAATTACTTTACTAAACAGCATCTCTGCTAACTTTATATATGTTCCTACAAATCATTCAAACTATATGATAGGAAATTCCTATAAAACATCTAAGAGTGCACGATGGCGCATGTACAATATAAAAAATCCTATTAGCGGTGTAATATTATTACCTTATTTATATTTATTTCATTGGCATCTTTTAATTTTTGATTGTTACAAGAATACAATTTTACACTTAGATCCAAAATATACCGAAAGTTCTGACAAGAAACGAGCGATTACAGCATTTAAAAATTATTTAAAGGAAACCTCTTTGATAGATGAGTCTGGTGAAAACATATGTGATAGATCGTGGCGCGAAATAACATGTAATAATAGGCCTTTTCAAAAGGATACATTTAATTGTGGAATATATGTTATATATTATCTAGACTGTATAATACGCGACAAATCATTTGATGAAAATTTTAATCCTGCACAATATCGAATTACAATTGTCGAATCCTTATTAACGCCATCTAGATGTATGAAAGACGTTTGTCAATATTGTTTTAGCGATCGTCAAATATCTTTAGTAATGTGCAATACTTGTCGACGTTGGGCACATCAATTGTGTCTCAAAAGGAAATTCAATGATACAACAAACTGGACAGATCCAAATGCAAAGTATAGATGCTTATTGTGTGCCAAAGGTTTTCGACCATGGATGAAATATGTTCAATAAAGTTTAATCAATCGCATAAAATTTTATTTCTTCTAACCTTCTTTACAACTAACAAAATAGTTTTCAAGTATCGTCATCTTAATGCATACAGTTTCAATATATATCGTAGTTTCGATATATATATATATATATATATATATATATATATATATATATTATCGTTAAGATGTAGGATATTTTAAGTAATTTTAAGGGTTGTTTTTCGAGTATAAGGGTGTCTTCCGATGCATGTATCGAATCGTACTGTTTTGTACGTTGTGTAAGAATGTTAGGAGCTCCTTTATGCAACAGCACAAGGGCGACAAATCATTCGTTGAGATGTAGGATCTTTTAAGTGATTTTAAGGGTTGTTTTTCGAATATAAGGGTGTCTTCCGATGCATGTATAGAATCGTACTGTTTTGTACGTTGTGTAAGAATGTTAGGAGCTCCTCTATGCAATAGCACAAGAGCGATAAATCATTCGTTGAGATGTAGAATTTTTTAAGTGATTTTAAGGGTTGTTTTTCGAGAGTAAGGGTGTCTTCCGACGCATGTATCAAATCGTACTTTCTTGTGTGTTGTGTAAGGATTTTAGGATCTCCTTTATGCAACAGCACAAGAGCGACAACTCATTTGTTGAGGTGCAAGAATATTTTATTTGATTTTAGGGGTGATTTTTCGAGTATAAGAGTGTCTTCCGACGCGTGTATTGCATTAATCGTTTCTGTACTTTGTTTTTGGCCCTCAGAACTTGCTCTATGCAAAAGGGTAATGGCAACAAACCCGTTTTTAGAAAATCGCTCCTGGAACGTTCCAAACTTCAACCAGCTACCGATTTACTATTATGTGCGTAATTTTAATTTGCTGAATGTCTATTACGTACATAATTTTATTGCATACATAACTTTTTCTTAAATTTTTATTGTGTACATAATTTTAATTCTTAAATTTCTATTATGTTTTAATTTCGATTTGCAAAATTTCCATTATGTATGTACATAATATTAGTTAGCCGAATTTCTATTATGTACAATTTCAATTATTTACATAATAGAAATTCGGCATGTTAATTCATGCCAAAATTATTATTAATTAATTGAAAAACGTTTATTAATTATTCAAATATATTGCAAGTTTATAATTTCATAGAATTTGATTTTAATAATATAAATATGATGTTTTTTAAATCGGCCAACAGAGCCAAAGCACGAAAAATTAATTATTCGGAACTGTATCTCTTGGTTTGAGATCACTAAGTTCCATATATAAATTAATCTTGAAACTTACATATGGAGAAATAGGCGCGAAAAATATAGGTCCGAAAAGTCGCTGAAGCGGGAATCGAACCCGCGTCTTTCACTTTCCGGGCGACTGCTGTTACCAACTAAGCTGTTTAGATTTTTTCGATCTTATATTTTTCATTTGCCTTTTAGTAGATGTTAGTAAATAACGCCGTGATTAGGCCAAGGCGTGAATAAAATCAGAAAGAAATATTTTTATTTGATTTTATTTATTTTTATTTATTTTTATTTATTTATTTTATTTATTTATTTGATTTGATTTATTTATTTGATTTGATTTATTTATTTTTATTTGATAAAAATATTTCTTTCTGATTTTAATAAGTTAATGAATATAGTCATTCTTAAAACTGAATACGTAATATCTTTGTTCAAAATAGGACATATGTTTATAATAACTTTTTTGTCTAAAATGATATGTACAATTATGTCCTAAACTTATGTAAAAGATCATTCCTCCTGTATAACAGATTTTATTTCTAATTATTTGTAAATTACTGTATCTTTTATGTTTTATAAAATTATCTAATAAACAGTTTGTATCACTTGTTAAAGTAAAACTTTTTTACAAGGATAGTAATATTTCAATAATCCAGATAGTAATATTCAATAATCATTCTCTGTACTTACTTGAAATCTGAGATCACCCACTGGAGGCTTAGCATATGGTATTCCACAAAAGGCATTGTAAGAATCGCCATATTTGCTTTTCTTGACGATGCCGATTAATGTCCCTTCAGACACATTTACTTTTACTCTGTTCGACAATGCGGATAGCTCTGAAAGATTTATGCTCTGGCTAATTTATTGCGAAAAATAAGTATTTATATAAAAACATATATAGATATTCTCTTATTATGATCTGAAAGCTAAGCGATGTTAAAATAAAGTTCGTATCTTGATAAATTTAAAGATACATAAATAATTATTTTGTGTGCTACAAGGAAAACGTCGCTCTTATTAAATATATACATTGTAACAGCAATAAGACTATTATTAACAAATTGTTTGATATTGCAAACAAAATCTGTCTTGTCGCAGATAAAGAATTTTTTTATTTAACAAAATTAATTTTCTTTATAAATCATTTTGCTATCTGTACAACTAATAAATTTTATTACGCAAGATATATGTATGTACAATTATATCAACGAACGGATACTTTTCAATGTCATTCCTTTGAAAAAGAAAAATATACAATATTAATTACTATGCATGGTTAAATTTTAAGTATTACGAAAAGTTACAACATATTTAGATTTTTATATAGGTATGTGAAATTATATATATAGAGTATCCCAAAATTACATTCTTCAGCAAAAATTTCGAGAGAAAGGTCATCATTTTTTGCATGTTTTCAATTTTTACCATGTATATCTTTGTAACTAAATCTTAATTAAATTAAAATTCTACTAAAATAAAAATTGTGATTTTGTTAATATTTTATTTTCACTAGGCTTAATTTATAATTTATAATAAGCAATAATGTATAATATAATAATAAGGTATAATAAGGCTTAAGTTATAATTTGACGAAAAGCTTAATTTTCTTCAATCGCTTATAACTCGAAAATTATTGGTGCCTCGACATTTTTGCCGAGGAAAAATCGTCTTCAAATGACCTCAGGAATCTCCTTATTATTAGGGGGTCTAGTAATTTTTACACCCAATATATATACATATTTTTATAAAATTCGTGTTATCTACGCGACGCACAATTTTTTTCTGTTATTTTCTACCAAATGTTAGCTAGCGCCTGGATAGTATACGTATCTAAGAGCTAGACTACCACAATGTTACACATAAAGGCAAGCACTGACTATAGACTTACTATATTGACGCTAGTTCGTGTTTAGAAGAACTGGCTCGCGCGCGTAGCTATGCATCCGCGATTTTAACTTTCCACACGGGTGTTATTATATACGTATAAGAGACAAGACAGTGTTCGCGCATGTATGTGTGTATGTGTTTTCGAAACATCAAGAGCATTCTCGTCGTCACGACATTTTTGTCATCCCGATACGCGACTACTTTTAATTCTTGATCGATAGCGACGATAATCACGTCATGTTCGCTGAGTTAAACGGAGATGTCAGGCTGAAACACACCTTCGGTTGCTTATATTCTATCTATACAACGTCGATGCGATCTTCGTCGCGCACCGTGTTCGTTAATTCAGCGAAATATAATTAATCGGCTTTGTTGTCGTGCGCGCGCAGCATTAGGTGAACGGAGAGACGTTATATGAAAACTTGCTGTTGCGTCTTGCCATTGTGTTCCCCGAGGTATGCCCGAAGAATATTGCGGTGTGCACGATGCGCACTATACAGAGTGTCCAGAAAATCGCCCGGAATACTTCGGGAGATGATTTGGGACTCAAAAAGAAGAAAAAAATGTTATATAAACATAGGTCCGGAAAGAAGTCGTTTCCAAGTTATAGCCATTTTTATATAATTTTTTGAAATATTATTTAATTTTTAAAAATTTTTCGATACTTGTAAATACGATTATATAATTTTTAAAAATCAAGGCTAAACATAAATAAATATTTAAATTAAATTAAATAAGATGTTCAAAATGGTCACCTTTAGCACGAATGCAGGCTTTTATTCTTCTATCAAATAAGAAATTCCGAACTCTTTGAAAAACATTTGGATTTCTTCTTATTTTTTTGAATTTATGAATTATTCTTTGTCTTAAGTCAGGAATATTATTGAAAAAATTATTTAATATGAATTGAAAAAAAATTAAAAAATAAAATTTAAAAGATTTAAATAAAAGTGGTTATAACTCGGAAACGACTTATTTCTGGACCTAATTTATATAATATTTTTTCCTTCTTTTTGAGTCCCAAATCACCTCCCGTAGTATTGCGAGCGATTTTCTGGACACCCTGTATAAATGCAAATTTTTTCGCGGAATTGCGGAAACAAATAAAAACAGCGATCCACGCGCGCTGAAACGATAATACACAAGTCTGCGGAGAAGCTTTCCCGGGCAAGGAGATATAAATAAATTCAATGTGCAATTGATTGTGGTATACGGAATTTTATAAATCGGAAATTGTTCTATTCGATAAACGATCGCGCGACATTTTGTGTGTTTATTTGCGCGTTTTCCGTTGGAAAGCTCACTGTATTAGAGGACTTTAAATGATTTTCAGTAACCGAACGGTTCGGGTACACAGTTCGGGCCTCTTTTTGCTTGAATTATATACCATCTACAGTATTTGCTGTTATCTAAATAAAATTATATAGATGATCATCTAGATAAAATTTTATTTTATCTATAGATAAATAATAAAAATATATATTTTCTATATCTACATCTTGGATGAAAAAAGGGTTATCTTTATTAAAATTCAGATAATTTGGTTTAGAGTTATAGTATAAAAATTATTAATTAGTAGAACTTAAGCAATAAGTATGTCGCCAGTGTTTGCTGTTCTCTAAATGAAATTATATAGCTAAAATTTTGGCATTCTTTTTTCTTTAAATAGATAATAAAAATATTTAACTGCATCTTAGATAAAAAAATTAAGTGTTATCATTACTAAATTATCTAGAATAATGTTCAGATAATTTGATTGAGAGTCATAGCCAGGGTTTGCTGTTATCTAAATAAAATTATATAAAAGATCTAGTTAAAATTTTGACATTATTTTATCTTTATATAGATAATAAAAATATGTTTTTATTTATAGCTGCATCTTAGATAAAAAGAGTGTTATTTTTATTAAATTATCTCGACTAATGTTCAGATAATTTTTGGTTTAAAGTCATAGCACATAAAGATACTTAAGTAATAAAGCTTAAGTAGTAGGCGATAACAATTTATAAATAAAAATATGAATATAATTTTATATATACCTTTTATAATTTAAATTTTTTTGTAATTGTGTTTACATAAGCGGTTTTAAAAATAATATTATCAAAAAAATATTTAGATGAATCGCCACATATTTTTATTTTTTATCTAGATAAATTTAAAACAAAATTATCTTTATTTTTTCTAAGATAAATTTACATATTTTTATCTCAGCTTTATCTAATTAATTTTGAAATCATTTAAACACAACATTGACCATCTGATAAATAAAAGTCTTACTTGTGTGTACAGGTTGATTGAGTATTTGAAGCGTTAGAATGCATCTCAAAATAGAAATCAAACATAGGTTCACGTTTAACATTTTTAACTCTATTCACGGATGGCACAATATTGTTACACAATATCTCGACTAGTAGAGGCTGACGAGGTCAACGATCTGTAAAATAGTAGAAGATACTTTTACCATAAGAAAATAGTAAAAAAATGTAAAAAATGTTGGTATCTGCGAAGTGACGCAGAACGACGATATACAATATTTTAACTGTATGATGTTAACCGCTGTAACTAAGTCATACAGTGTTATACAATATTGCTAATATTGTTTGAAAAACACTCTATTTATTAAATTAATTAATTCCTTTTGAACTGATTTTCTCACAAGAAACAGTTGCGTACATGCCACGGAAAAAAAAAGATTGCTATCACACCATACATGTATTTTATATGACAGCAATCCTTTAACAACTCCCGTGTATATATCTATAGAAAAACAATAAAGAAATTCAAGACAATGAACAGATTTAAATATATTACATCTTTTATATAAATAATTCTAAGTGAACTCACTACATATATTGTTGATATCTCGTAGTTTTAATTAAACTATGGAAAAGACGATGCGGATAGTGATATGTAGTGATGTTGCAAAGAAATTGAAAAGTAATGTTCGCTATAAATTTGCTGTTTGTCAACGATCGTCTGTTCGTTCCGGTGTTTTATATGGTATTGAAAATGTGCGAGCGCGTCTCGAAACGGCTACCAGAATTATTGTATCGTCATATTTACGTTTATTTTCATGTACATCTGTATATTGGTATGTGTCTTCTTCGTCTTGTGTTTATTATGATTCTGCTTACCTGAGTGCCTATAGTATGTGTGTCTGCGCATATGTATAGATTTGTATGTTAACATTTTTAATTAATTATATTAGTTGTTTTTTATTATTTGTATTGTATAACTAAAAAATAATATTATATTCAAATTTTTATTATTTTATACAATTGATATTTGAAACATTCATTCAAGTGGATTTCTTTCAATTTCAAATAATTGTCTCATATTAGAAAATGGAGAAAATATTGTTTTGCCACGGATTTTATTTTTTTTAACTTTTTCTTAAAGCAAATCAAGATTTTTTTACATAATGTACGTTTCGATCATTTTAGACATACGGATTATTAGAAAGAAATTATCTCAGTAAATCTATGATTTTTTGTAGAGTTTGGGGTATTAGAAGACATAAAAATTTCATTCAATAAAATTTTTGTAATCACTTTACGTAACTTTTTTCAGAATTTAAACAAAAAGGACCGAACACGCGAATTTCGTTGTTTACATCTATTTGTAAAGTTTACGAGTTAAAAAGAATTATTAAAATACTTAAGAAATAACATTTTTGTAATATAGTTTTTAATAATTTGAAATTATTATATATAAAATATACACTATATATTTTAGTAAAAATAATTTATATCTTATTGCGGTGGATATTAATATTTTTCATTCGATAAAAATTTTTTAATCACTTTACGTAACTTTCTTTCAGAATTTAAACAAAAAGGACCAAACTCGCAAATTTCGTTGTTTTTACCTATTTATTACATTTTACTATATAAATAATTCTAACTAAACTCAATTTATGTATTGTTGATATTTTGTAGCTTTAATTCCATTCCGAGCAAGGCGATGCGGATGGTGATGCGCAGTGACGTTGGAAAGAAATTGAAAAGTAATGTTCGCTATAAATTTGCTGTTTGGCAACGATCGTCTGTTCGTTCCGGTGTTTTATAAGAGACTGAAAATGTGCGAGCGTCTCGAAACGGCTACCAGAATTATTGTATCGTCATATTTACGTTTATTTTCATGTACATCTGTATATTGGTATGTGTCTTCCTCGTCTTGTGTTTATTATGATTCTGCTTATCTGAATGCCTATAGTATGTGTGTCTGCGCATATGTATAGGTTTGTATGTTAAAATTTTTAATTAATTATATTAGTTATCGATATTATCAATATTTTATTCTTTCTATGAAATTACAAAGGAAAGACGGTCATCACGAGTAGCGTCTGGCAGATATGAATGGAGTGTGTACTATATAGTGGTATTTCTAGTTTATTTTTGAAAAATACGTTGTCGGATTAAAACTTTCTTATATATGGTTGGATTTGGAATTAAATAAGCTTTCAGAATTTTTATAAAAAATTTAAATGTTTTCAAAAATTATGGAAAGAGGGAGGAATTTCGGAAAATTTGAAATTTTTGAAAAATTCTTTTTTAAAAATTCACTGTTTTAAAGAACATTAAAAACCATAAAATTTTTACTTGAAACAATTTTTAATATCTTTTGCCGTTTCGACGGTATTAGCTCAAAAATTTAAAAAACCGTTTTTTTTTTTTCAAGAGGGTGTTTACTCCCTAAACGTCGAGATACGCAGCTAGAAAAATCACGGGTCTAATATTTTTCAATGCTATATAATATATTCAAGGCTCATTAAAATCGGTGAGGGAGATTTTCGACCGTTCCCTTGTAAGTGAAATATATAGCGTATATATTGTTGATAAAGGCGATGCGGATGGTGATGCGCAGTGACGTTGCAAAGAAATTGAAAAGTAATGTTCGCTATAAATTTGCTGTTCGGCAACGATCGTTTGTTTGTTCCGATGATTTATATGATACTGGAAGTGTGCAAGAATGTCGAAACGGCTACCTGTATTCTTGTATCGTCATATTTACATTAATTTTCATGTACGTCATATTTACATTAATTTTCATGTACGTCTGAGTATTGGTGTGTGTCTTCCTCGTTTTGTGTGTATTATATTCTGCTTGTCTGAATGTGTGTATCTGTGCATATAGATGTGTGTATGTTAAAATCTCAAAAAACAAATAGATGTGTGTATGTTAATCTCAAAGAACAAATTCAATTCCACCAAGTGCGCTTTAGATACAGATGATGTCGGCGCTAATTTTGAAAATAATATGCAACTTTACATTTTCTAAATTTTATGTTGAGGGAGTTAAAAGATTATGTTAGAAAATGGAAACAAGATTGTTCTGTCATAGATTTTACTTTTTTTATTTTTAATTAAAACAATAAATCAAGATTTTTTAACATATTGTACACATTGATCATTTTAAACATGCGGATTACTATAAAGAAATTTTCACAGCATATCTGTGATTTTTTGCTAAGAGATACTAATTAGTAACAAAATTTACTTAACATAACTTTACCACCTTTGTACGTACTGGTGTTTTGAATTTGTGTTAAAAATACTAAGAAATGTGAGCGGATATAGAAGACAAGGGATTTTTATGCAGCTGCATAGAATATAATTCACGATCCATTTCTGAGGGTGTGGAACATATCTCTAACATCTCGTGCTTTTTATCATGCGGTTTTTCTAATGTTTGAATTATCAAGCGTATCTGGATATCATATTATAATGTAAGTTAATAATTTCTCTGCGTTTTATTTGTATTGGGCGCTGATGAAGGCTCAAAGAAAGAGCCGAAACGTACGTCGTATCTCATTTTTGTAATTTGTATTTTAATACTGTAATAAATTGGATTAATTTAAAAAAAATATATATATCATGCTTCATTATCTGCGCTGAAGCTCTTATAGCCAATTACACTTTAATGATCTTTTGTTTTAATTTAGTAGAGCTATTCTAGAGTGACAGAATTGTCATCTCGGTTGCTAGTTATTGACTGTAACGCAGGCTGGAAAATGCTCCCCCCCCCTCGTTTTTTATCAATATTAAACAACAATATGGTTGTACAGCAGTTAACTTATTTAAGGCATGGATTAAATTTCAAAAAGTGCGTATATACATGAGATTAAAGATTGTCTTTGTGCGTAAATGTATTAACTTGGATATTATTCTTTCACATTTAAATCCTCAGAAATTTGGAGATTAATTGGTCACATCGTAAGTCCATCAACAATTTGAACTATATAAAATTTCAATTTTTCAAAAAATTATTAAAGTTAGTACAGATATTGCAAATTTCTAGGAATCTATATAGTATTATTCCAAGTTACATTTGCATTCGTTTTTTTCTAGACAAACGGGACCATTATTTACCTATTATAACATTTAACAAAAATATAGATTTTTACTGATTAAGAACATAAATAGAACAAACAACATCAAAACAATTCAATATCATTGTATTTTCAACAATAATGACAAAAACTTTAATTTTTATTTTAAAAAAACCGACTACACTTATAGGTGATAATGAATTGCTAACACATGTTAAATTAGACTCTATAATGTTTAAAGATGACAAACAATCCATTAAAGAAGATAAATAATAAATGGTTCATCAATTTATCGTCCGTCTCTATTCCTCCTACAATTCAAAGTCTGTTACAATTAGGAGAAAAGTTTAATCTCCTGGTTACGGACAACGCTAAGTTAATAATAGAATTTATTAAAAGTATTGAAAATAATCTCAAAAATATTCCGCGTACAAATCAAATTGAAATAAAAAATCACACTACAGACATTATGAACAAGCTTCCATCTTATAAATCTTCAAAGAAAAAACTCGATGCACATATCCTGAACTCAGTTTCCCTTACGAAAAAATTTTTAAAAAAACATCCTAACATAATAATAACGCGAGCAGACAAAGGGAATGTTACGGTGGCTCTCGATAAAAATAAATATTATGAAAAAATGGATACGATACTTGATGATAAAAATACAAATGTTGTTTGTAAAAAGAGTCCGATTAGTAAATTAACGAACAGCCTTTGTAACATTTTAACAAGATGGAAAAAGGAAGGATACATTTCGAGGTCTGCATATGCATATTTGTATTGTGGAGATGGGATATTACCGAGGGCCTTTTTTTTTGCGATCGGCGCGGGAGGAGGGAAGCATTCCTTATTACTACCCCGGGTCGGCCCCGGGGTTATGTGGGACTCAGGCTCCACCGGGTGATCATTACCCGGCTTTATTTATTACCGTATATCCATTACCGTGGGCATCGCCCACTACCCACTAAACCCTCCCCCCGAAACCAGAAAGCAACCATGTGCACTTCTGTATTTGACTGGGGAAGCAAGAACTGTTGTTCACAATACCTTTGTTCCCCCAGTCCAGTTCATGGCTACATGCCATGCTGTCCTCTCTCCATCATTCGTTCATCCCTCTTTCATTCATCCAGTTTCTTCTTGCACTATATACACGAACGCAGACACACACTAGACAGCACTAACTGTCCATGCATCAGCCCTCATCACTTATCTCCCCCCCCACATCCCTCTAAACCCCACCCATCCCCACCCCCACCCACACGCACATGCACACGCACGCACACATACACACAAGGCAAGTAATACGTAGCACGCTCAAGCGATATCCACTTGTTACTACAGCCCCCTTTTGAAAGAAAGAATTCCTAGCTATTATATGTCCATTATTTTTACTAATGGACCAGTCCTAATATTACCGAGGGTCTATGGGCTCCCAAAAAGAACTGCCCATTTTGGATAATTGTCTCATCTCTGGATAGTCCGCTATATAATTTAGCTTCCTTTATGCAAAAAATCATGTACAACAACTTCCCGAAAGTCACTAATCATATCTCGAATAGTTTTGAATTAGTTAGCAAGCTATCTAATATTTTTATTGCTGACAACATGGAGTTGATGTTCTCTGGATGTAGTCTCTTTTCACAACATCCCTATAGATATGGCAATGGACAGCATTGCTAACAGATGGCATTTTATCTTGCATAAGTGTTCTATCCCACAAAACGAATTTTTATTAGCAGTTTGATTTATATTAGATTCAACTTTTT